CACATTTCAAACATCCGGTGGCACCCTTCACACAGATCGGCAGGGTCAGGGTCCAAAAACACATGGGATTTGCCACATGTTTAAAGTTCGGCGGCACCCCTCACGCGGATCGGCGGGGTCAGGGTCCAAAACGCAAGGGACTTGCCAAATTTCCGAAATCCGGCGGCACCCCTCACGCAGATCGGCGGGGTCAGGGTCCAAACGCTGTTTGATGTTATTGGACCTCTTGGAACAAACCGCTATGGCATGGCATGATATGGAATATGGTACGGCGTGCTATGCTAAGCTATGCCACGCTACGATTGAGGCGCGCTGGTATACCACATCGTGACTCCACGCTGCGACTTGAAATTGTGAAGGGAGGGGAAGCAGGGGAGGGGGATGAAGGACTTAAACTTCTCATCGCGAATCTGGCTCTTCCAACTACCCTGATCGCTGCAGAGAACATGGGTCCCAGCTATAGCAAAGTATTGATGCTGCTCTCCGACGGCGCGAGACTTGATGCAACTCCAGGCCTGATCGCCCCAGCAAGAGGCGATGCCGAACAGCATAAAACTAAAATGCAACGGGTCGTCGCTCTCGCAAGGCGCTCCCAGAGCGCCCTCGCAAGATGACAAGGTCGCCGCCGACGAAGATGTAGCGCCACTGCCCCCCAGCCCAGAAGCATCTCCCCCAGCAACTTCAAGATGAAGAAGCACATGAAACACGTCTAAATTCACACCAGTGACTGCCTGACTTGCTTTAGAGAAGGGCGCGCGTGAGGCTGCAGGTGGGGCCTCGATGCCAGCGCTGAATGTCAGCACCCGCTATGTATCGGCCCAGCTGAAAGTCGAGAACCCTCCTGCAGAGACGACCTCGTCATTGACTGGAGGCTGCGGGCTCAGCGGGCTCGGAGGCGATGGGCTCAGTCGAATTCGCAGGGGCTCTGGGGGCACACGTGAAGAAGCCGTACTCGGGGGGGGCCAAGTAGCGCCCGCACCCCTGGATGCGGATGGCCATATGGCGGCCGTGCGGGGACGGGCCCAGGGGAAAGGGTGGATGGCGACCCCGGGGGGGCGAAGCAACGTTTTCTCGGGCGTCCGTCGCCCAGCCAGCCCAGAACTTGCAGGCGCGCATGATTGGCAGCATCTCCCCATGGGCCCCGGGAAAAATTAATGGGTCGAGGGGCGGGTGGGAGGGATGAAGGGTGAGGTCAGCGAGAATAGAAGGGGTTAGAGGAGAGGGGGAGGGACGGGCTCCTCGGGGCTCAGGATCAGGAGCAAGCGGCACATTACATCGCCGTAGAGGTCTGCGAACGCATCTACCATATCAGTGGACGCATGAAGGTTTGGTGGTTCGCAGTCCGTCCACCAGATGCGTTCCATGTTCGTCTCTGCCACATCGCGCCAATTGGTGGGCATCAGGAGGGCGTGGGGGAGGGGGCGAGGGCGAGGTTTGGAGTGGGGTGGGGCGCCGCCAAGGGGCCACCAGCTCGCCCTGGACACAAGAAAAACCTGGGGGCCCCCTGCCCACCCCTCACCCCACCCCGCTCGCAACCTCATTCCCGCCCCCCTCCCACCCCGATGTCTGGATGCCTGTGATACTGAACGGTGGGCATCCTCTCAGGAGATGGCTGCCCAACAGCTTGAATTGGCTTGCCAGCGCAGCCGCTGGCGGCTCTCGAGAAACGAGCTCTGGGAAGCTGATGCTTCTGGGGGAATGGCGAGGTGGGGGGATGGCGAACACGGCGCGAAACATGCCAGCAGAAACTTCAGCACATGCACGCGCAGGGTGCCGTCCTATGCGATGCTATGCGGTGCTATGCGATGCCATGCGAGGCTATGCAATGCTGGCACCTCCCACGGGCCCTGCAGCAGCACGATCGAGCCTCCTCCCTCCGTCCCCCCCCCTCCTCCTCCACGAATGTCCTCTCGGTCCTGTCCCCCGTGCGCGCGAGCAGCGCGCAGTGATGTGGCGTGCGAAATTCTTCTGTGATTCATGCGCGTGAGTTTCCCAGAGGTATTGTTTGGATTCGCTGCTCATCAGCTGCGCACTACTACTCCTCCACGAATCCGAGCCGTGGCCACTCCCTGCTTCGCAGGCCCCCCCCCCCGTCTTCACCGCGGGGCGCGCCTCGAGGAACTGGCGCGCCCTACCGCGGCCAGGGCCTCGCCTGACTCGTAGCCCCCTTGTGCGCGCCATCCGCGGCGCTCCCGCTTCGGCCCAGACCCGAACGCATATTCCGTTCGCCCCGCCGCATTTTTAAGCTCAAGCGAGCATTCGGTCAGGGCCGAGATGGGGGCCCCGCCCAGCGGCATATCCCAGACTTTTACTTCGCTCAGCGGAATAGTCAGTCAGGCCGTCCCAGGCTTTTACTTCGCTCAGCGGCATATCCCGCTCAGCAGCATATTTCGCCAGTCGGCGCCCAGTCTGCACTGCCGCCGCTTCCACGGTGCCAAACGATGATGACTATGTTGCCGAGTCTAGACATGGTTTGCTTCCCTCGAAACGGGTTGTATCGGATCTAACGATCGGTGTGATGAAGACCCACAGTACCGCCCGACGTATGGATATGCACAGTCGGTGAGTCGAGTACGCCACGGCAGATATCCTGCGGCCCAAAGACGTGGAGGGCCCATTACAAGTGAATGGCACATGGCTTGTTGTGATGTCGAACTTGTGGCCGCCTTCAGATGGCAGAGATTATCTGTGGCGCTTGATCAGAGACTATGCTGGGTTTTGGTCTGGTTCTTCTGATCCGGGACATTACTTCCAGTCGATGTGCTTCGAGTCGGCATTGGGCTAATTGTCGAGAGGCAGGGCGACAGTGGTTTCGGTCACCCGCCGATCGGACGCTGTCATTACAGGGGGGACTCCAGCTCTGATTGCGCCAATGCTCAACGTTCCAGGGTACGAACCGAAGGCCTGCAACCGCCATCATGCTGAGGCACTCCACCAGCTCCAAGGCGGACGAGAGCTCCAAGTGCGGGTGAACCACAGCGGGCCATTGGAACCGCTCGGTTTCTTGACGCCAGAAGGGAAGTGCGATCTTGTGGAATGCTGTGCGTCGGCGACCGCATTGGGCTTCAGAGCTGTATTCCTTGCTGAACGGGACGCAGCTCTTTCGCACGGTTGCGCCCAAGGAGCTCGCCGGCTTCACTTCGAGAGTGTGGTTCCGCCGCTGCAGTACAAGACCCCGCATGGGCGCCTGCCGATACTGCGCCCGCTGGCAGGCTACACGGGCACATATGAAGATTTCGTCGATTACGCAGAGGAGCGCCAGATAGATAAGATTATGGGCGCTATGGGCAAGTACACCCACGAGAGGAACCCCCCATGTATCCCAAAGGATT